CAGTGAGGTCAGTCATTGCAATTGCATAATTATTAAAATTAAAAATTATCATTCTGATGAAAAATGGTGTGCAATAAATAATACCTGTATTGTAATGTAATAATTATTAGATCAATCATAGTATAGATGCATTATGCATTATTGTTGTATACTGACATACTGTATATGGATCAATCGATCCTGCAATTGTCAACACGTGGGTTTATACTATTCAATATTACTATTCGGATTATTAGACTTTAAATGACATATTAAAACAGCCACGCCCAACTCTGCTGCATTATATTATACTCGCTCTTTATCAAAAATGGCTAGTGCTGGAGGGGCGATGCAACTAAAAGTAAGATAAAAGATTGCAACAGCAAAACGTTCATTATCAGTCATAGGTCCTTTTTGTTGGTGATGTTGATGTTGGAAAAACATCAATATTCGAATTATATATTAATCATAAAGTGGTCAACTCAGTCTCCTAAACACACAATAAGCCCTGTTATTAAAAGGATAAAAATTGTTACAGCTCAGAGTCCTCACACAAATGTAGAAATAAGCTGCTTTTTCATGAAATTAAATTTAATATATAAATAATAATAGTTAAACCTTAATGATACAGTTGGACAAGAACGATACAAATCGTTGACAAAGCAGTTCTATAGAAATGCTGACATTGCTCTTCTTGTGTTCAGTATTGATGATGGTCCTTCATTCCACAAAATTGAGTTTTGGAGAAAAGAAGTTTTGAGCCATAACATTGAAAAGGACGTGGCAATGATTCTCATTGGCAACAAGGATGACCTTCACGAAGAGAGGATCAACCCTAAATCAACAAGCAAGCAATACACTGAGAAACATGGCATGAAGTTTATTGAAATGTCTGCAAATAGAAGAGATGATTATCTAAAGGTGGACTCTGTCATTTGAGATGCTGCAACTGAAATTGTACATCAAAGACATAATACTAAGTCTGGACCTGTACAACAAGAAGATAAAAGAATAGATCTGGGTGACCCTCCAGTACAGCAACAAAAAAGAAAAAAAAAGTCGATGTCCTTGTTGAAGGCTACTTGCACAATTATTTCTATGTACTTTTAATATTTTCCATTCTAGTTGTCCCTTGAATAATGTAAGCACAAAATACCACTGAGGTACATCACTGCTGCATTTGCAATGCTTCAACGCCTACGCATTATTAAATATCTAGATCTATGTAGCCTTATATGGAAGTTGAAAGCTGTAGCCTGTAGCAAAGAAGCGGTTGGCTTTTTATCACAGCTGCCTGCCCTTGAATTTTTAAAGCCATGGCCTCAAACGTTGCAGGTGCAGGAAAACAGCTCAGAATAATCTTTGTCGGTGACTCTGGTGTTGGGAAGACATCAATATTCAAATTATTTGAAAATCATGAAGTCTTCAAGTCTCCTGTAGTCACAATTGATCCTCAGACAATAGAAAGAAACATTGTTATTGGACCACCACATGAGACTGTAAAGGTTAGATTTATGATTTATTTATTAGATGATTGATAATGGTAATTATTTTAGCTCTTGATTTATGACACAGCTGGTCAGGAAAGGTTTAGGACCTTCACAAGACAGTACTGCAGAAAAGCAGACATTGCTTTCCTTGTTTTCAGCATCACTGATGGTCCTTCATTCCACCACATTGGAGAGATATGGATGAAAGAGATGGCTGCTAACAGAGAGGGTAATACCGAGATGATTCTGATCGGTAACAAGTCTGATCTGATTGATGACAGGATTAACCCTCTATCAACTAGCAAGCAATTTGCTGACCAATATCAGATGAGGTTCATTGAAATGTCTGCCATTAAAAATGATGATTTTCAAAAGTTGTACGACATGCTTAAGGAAGCTGTGACCCATGTAATAAAAAAAGGAGGAGGAGGAACCAAAGAAGACATTGTGATTATTAACGATGATGAGCCAGCTCCACGAGATGATGGAGTGTGTTCAAAATGCAGAAATTAAGTGACATGCAAACTTTATTAGGCCATGAGTAAAGTGATACTTTTACTTTTTGATAACAATACTTTACACAGTGAACTTTATGAATGTCTCAATGATGTCACTAATAAGGAGATATATGAATAGGAGATAATATGAATAGGTCAGTCTAGCTGAGCCTAACAACATGATACCGGCACCATTTCCTGCAAGTGTCCAACACTAAATGCAGGCATAATAATTACACCACAATTTAATAGCTGTGGTTACTATAGTAACATATTGATAGTACCTTACTCAACCAACACATGTCTGTATTATCTCTGTTCAGTCATTGCAATTGTATAATTATTACTAGTATAATTACAATTTAAAATTATCATTCTGATGAAAAATGGTGCGCAATAATACCTGTAATATACTAACACTACAACTATTGATGTAATTAGTGGAAGTTATAAAATTCTACAAGTAATCACATGCATGTACATCTACAGGTAATTCATGTATTTTATTCATTTATTTATTTAATTTAACGTTATAACGGTAGGGTGGTGCTAGCTGCTGCCTGAGCTGTACAGCTGTGCCTGATAACACCCACGCATTGCTGCTTCAAAAGGAGGCTAGCCCCAAAAATATGGCCATCGTTGGAGAGACGATAAAAGCAAGTTACAAGATAGTCTGTAACAGCAACATTCATTATCAGCCATAGGTCCTCTTTATTGGTGATCTTGCCGTTGGAAAAACGTCAATATTCAAATTATTTAAAAATCATGAAGTGAAGATGAATCCTAAACATACAATAGACCCTGATATTGTCAGCAAAACTATTGTTATTGAAAATCCTCACACAACAGTAGAAGTAAGCTGCTTTTTCATGAAATTATATCTAATATAAATAATGATTAATAGCTGCACCTCTACGATACAGCAGGACAGGAACGGCACAAAACATTGACAAGACAGTTCTATAGAAATGCTGACATTGCTCTTCTTGTGTTCAGTATTGATGATGGTGATTCATTCCACCACATTGAGCAGGTTTGGAGACAAGAAGTCTTGAAGCGTAGTGAAAAGGACGATGTGAAGATGATTCTAATTGGTAACAAAGCTGATCTTTACGAAGAGAGGGTCAATGAAGTATCAACAAGCGAGGAATACGCTAGGAGACATGGCATGAAGTTCATTGAAATGTCTGCCATTAGAAAAGACGATTATCAAAAGGTGGACTCAGTCCTTCGAGAAACTGCAGCTGAAATTGTACGTCAAGGAGGCAGATCTAGCTCTACTAATGAAGAGCATAGACCTGTACAAAGAGATGAAGTAATTCACATAGAGCCAGTGCCAAATCCTATCCATGCAGCACCTAATGAGCCACAACAAGAGCAACAGAAAAATAAAAGGTGTAAGCTTTGTTGAAGATGACTTAGATATATTATTATACTTTTTACAATTTTTATTTAAAATACTTTTGCTTAAGAGATAGCTACTGGGTCTGGGGATAATGGATAAGGGAATGTATCACAGCAAAACACCCACACATTATTAATTTTTATTTATAGCCTTACATGGAAGTTGAAAGCTGTCTGGCTTTTGTATCAAACTGGAGGGCCTGCCCTTAATTAGTTTTAAGCTATGGCCTCTGCTATGACCTCAATTGTTGCAGGTGCAGGAAAACAGCTCCAAATAATCTTCATTGGTGATTCTGATGTTGGGAAGACATCAATATTCAAATTATTTGAAAATCATGAGGTCTTCAAGTTCAAGCCTCCTGTGGTCACAACTGATGCTCAGACAATAGAAAGGAACGTTGTCATTGGACCACCACATGAGACAGTAAAGGTTAGAACTAAGATTTATTTATTATGATCATCTTTACACGTCTTTAGCTCTATATTTATGACACAGCTGGTCAGTGGTCAGAAAAGGTTTAAGCCTGGTTTTCTTACAACATGGCTGCAACAATAGTGGAGATAGAATCATAAAAATCAGGTCTATCTCTACAATAGTTGTATGTTAACCATGTATGGAGCACTGAAGCAGTGCGGATCAATAAATCAAGCAAGGCTGTGGAATTATGGAAACCAGGCTTTAGGAGGATCATAGGATGCAATTACCATTCAACATGTGTCCACTCAACACATGGGTGAGGTGGATTCAATATTAACTATTCAGATTTAGATTATTAGACTCTAGAGTGTATCTAGCTCCTGCATGCTGCATTGTTGTCAAATCCACAAAAATGTCATTATAATAAG